TTACCAGCCCCAGTCTCATTGAGTCTACCTTGACACCTACTGAAGATGAGTGAGGGTAAGTAGTGCGGGAGTACAAGCACAAAAGTCTACGACTAAGATAGGTGGTGAGAAAGCGCCTACGTCTGATCCTGTTCGGTCATCTAGACTCTGTCTTGTCACCGGTTCAAGCGGGTTGAGAGTTCCGAGTGTGGCAGACGTCTGCGCGTTTATTTCACTTCAGTCCAGCCCTTGACTACAGTCACCCTCCCAGCTCCTGAGCACAATGGGTGATTTCATCGGAATCGATCTTCAAACTATCAATAGTGACAAAACTTTCTGATTGTAACCAAACTTGCTCAAGATCTTTGTTAAGTACCCTTTGTTTTCGGGGAAGAATGATCATGTTATGGATTAAAAACGCTAGCATATACATGTGTGTGTGTGTGTGTTGAAATCCGATAGGTTCTTTCGGGAGGCGAATTGACTGTGTCAATGTCTGACACGGCTTCCTCAGGTCATCGTCGTCGTCATACTATGGAATGTATACGTAAATAAAACTAAAGTAACCGTACCTAATGAAGGACGTCTACGCCAATAGGTGTTACATGCACTTTTTTATCCTCTCATGGTTGGCTGTGCCTATTTAAATTTGTCCTTGAGAAATTGATATGGGACATATAAATCGATATACACACACATGAACACTACTTGGCGATCAGAAGACTATACAGGGAGGGGGAGCAAAAAGTGAGGGCATTGAGTATATTTAGGCGAATGGCTGAGAGAATACAAAGCTGAGTCAACACAAGCGAACATGCGTGTCCCAGGATGCAATCGAGAAGAAGACTCGATCGCCGGGACAGTATGTTTACTCGCCTGACGTTTCGACATCCGTCGCGGATTCAACAGCAGAGACGTGAGTAGCAGAAACACTACTCGTGCTACTCATGTCACTGATGATGAATCCGCGACGGATGTCTAAACGTCAGGCGAATACACATATTGTCTCAGCGATCGAGTCTTCTTCTTCTCAAAGCTGAGTCTGTTACCGGTACCTGATGTGCTTTAATATACCATCAAACCTACTTAGATAAGCATCGTATTACCACTTTTCAGACTCCAGAAAACAAAAAAAAACTATTTGAACTATCAGATGCCGAATCGGTGGTCCTGAGCTAACTTTGCTGCTAAGCGGAGGAAATGGTTGTATCATGTAATAAACTTTATCCTCAAAAGTATAAAAACAAAAACAGCATAAAGAAGATAGAGTGTAGACTCACGTAAATGACGCTTGAAGCTCCACACACAAACTCAAAGCTCCACACGCAAAAGGCAAATGCGTGCACAGCAATCAGTATCTCGAATAGCGCACGCACTTGGTATTAAATACTGCCATGCTCGTCATGGCCTTGCAGGCTCCACACAGAGCCCTGAGCTACCATTCGCGAGATACGTGATCAAGAGTGTCTCGTTGTGGATGACACCACAGACCCCTCAAAGCACTGCAACCGCTGTCTCCAGAACTGTACTTTTGCTTAGAGCGAATGACAAAGGCAAGATTCTAGTTTTTAAGCCAGCTAAGCTTAACCTCTGTGGAATATGGTTCAGTGCTATTGCCTGTAAAATCCACACGCTTGGAGACAACAGTATGAATCTTTCCGATAAATTTTCGATTAGCTCAAAATTAAAATTATATTTTATAGGAAAAAAATGGGTACGAATATTGCTTTTCTTGGAGAAGTGTTTTAGGAAATTTCGCATGCTTCAAATATGGCTGTCTGAACAGGGTCACTTACACACGTAAATAGACGTATAGAAGTCATAATTACAGGGTTTAATCAGAGTATTCAATGTTCCTTTTTTCAACCAACCTCTTGTCTTGTCCGATTTTTGTCCGAGGAGATTACCTCGCGAATTTGCAGGCAAGCCTTCAGAACAAACCTTTGCAGGCTCGATCCAAAAGTTGGTATGAATACTTGTCAGAGACGAAAGCATGTCGATCGCCGGAATTATGGTTTTATTCGTCACAGCTTTCGAACCCTTACGGGGGTCCATCGTCAGAGATAAAAACGTCAACGAAAAACAAGTAGCAGTTATAGGGAGAAGGGGTCATTTAACCAGCTGCAACGATAATATCCCACGCAGGCAGCAAGATAGGCCAAGAATTGATTGAAGCCTGGACCTCGGATGAGGACTCGGTCAATCGATTTATCGATCTGAAGCCCCCCAACATCGCCCTGCGCAAGCATCTTCGGACTATCGCCACTGGTGGTTGATTAGTCTCTGTCCCCTTTAACGATTGCTTGTTTTTCATTTAAGCTTTTATCTCTGACGATGGACTCCAGTAAGAGTTCGAAAGCTCAGACGAATAAAATCATGATTCCGGTGATCTACATGCCTTCTTCTGCTCTACCTGTGATGCGAATATTTGCCTCAATTAATTAATACTTGAACTGAAATCCGCCAGCTACTGTGGAATTACCGTGTAGTATGCACAAGCTTGCATATTAGGTGACTAAACTCATGCCAACTGAGGACTAAATTAAAATTTTTAGTCTAGCGTTCATTCAGTCCCGTTATTTTTATCTGAGGAAAACTGAATGTTAATTTTGGTTTTTTTTTAAGGGAAACGGACAAAGTTTTTAGCTAAGTCGGAGTTTGTCGGATATCGGAGAAGTTATCTATGCTGTTTAGCACGACAGAACCGAACTTTTTGCGCGTTGTGAGTTACGCCATAAGAGAACACCCATAAAAGTAACAAAAGTTAAAAAATACCCCTTCCAGAGCAGGAAAATCTAGTCCCAAATTGATGAAAATAAAGTGAAGTTTAGCAAATCGATTTTTTTCAGACACAGGGAACAATTTCAGGTTCAACCATGACTGTTTGCCAATATATAAAGAATCCGTCATAGAACGCATCGAAGAATGGGGGGTCTTAAACAATTATGCGTATATTTTATCGTGTGCATGAACATAGGAAAGAACTGCTTTAAAACTAAAACATATTGAAAGATGATTTTGCACAGGATAGTTTCCGCTTATGCGTAAGCAAGAAACGGAACAAAAAGATCAACACTTTTCGCACAATCTTCGTATATATTCGGTCACTGATATTTTGCATTTGAAATATTAGAATGCTCCGGTATAAAGGAAGCAGTAAGTTATTCCATTTCCAACCAAAACTGTAAAACTTACTTTCAGATGAATGAAGGAATCAACAAGCATTTTCCGTTTTCACTTTGCTGATACTTTTGACAAAGGTAACGTGCACAGTTACTCGTCAGATGAATATCTGAGTAACCTGAGTTTAAAGAGGTAACCTATTATAGAATTTTTTAACTGATTTTAG